ATAAGAACGATGAAAACTCCACGACCAAACCATCGAGCTTGGAGAACAAACCTCCAACTGAACAACAAATCTTCTCCACCACCGACACTAAAAAGCATCCATCTGACCTATTAATCTTCTACAATATTTTGGAAATACTAAAGTGTATTATAATGAACAAAACCTGTTTAGTTGATCTCTGACATGGTTTGGCTGAAATAATTCTTATTTTAGTAAATCTAATCAATATTCTGTCAAATATTTAAAAAATATATGACTAAAATACACAACACATACTACTGGAATGAACAAGAACACGAGTGAGGGAAAATCGTACGTAATTCGTACGAAATTGCAGAGCACCTCACTAAAATTTGAGAATCATATAGGAAATAGTCAATCCATTATCTCAAACTTGACTGTTTCTGTTCCAAATATCAATCAATTGTCTCCGATTTGATTGTTCATGCATTTTCATACCAATTGCATTCCGTTCCCGTTCTTTCCTTATCGATCTTCTATTGAAATACATTCTATGCCTGACCATCTTTATATACTACTTATGTGGATATAAGTAACCCACACCACACTACTTTCATTATTATGCCATAACTATCATTCAATTAAGTATTTTTATGCTTGTGAATTCAATGTATAGTAACAATTAAAATTTGTCCTTTAACATTTATCAGATATCTTGTCTTGATAGAAGTATATTTAAAGTATATGTAATATTCAAAGTATTCTACAAATTGTTCTACCTTTGAAATTCTTCCATAGTGTAGTTACCTTTAGTTTGAATCTATCAAATTAGAATATGAATTATGGTTCGTGAGGTGTCTTTACTATAGGTGTATTACTATACACAATGAAACTTGTAACTACATGTTATATCAAGACATCGGAAAAGACTGTATATATGTCACAATGAAATCTTGAATGTCAAAAAACACCAAAGTTTTATAAATAAATCTGATACATCTTAAACAGGTTTAATGTCTTTCTGGATTCATTACCTAAATGGGTGACTCATTTAAAATGATAGGTAATAAACGAACACTCATACGCAGTAGCATTCAGTTGTTAAGTCGTAAATTCAATGATATATGCTTCTTGGATTTCATCTGTAAACTTCAAGTTCATTCATCACTGACAACTAAAAAAATATTTCAGTTAATTTAATGCTGAAGAATGCCAAAATACGGCAAAACGGCCATCCAGTGCTTTCAGATGGTTAAGCTTCAAATGACTCATGAATTCAACTATTAAATTACTATAATATCCACAAAAATCTCTTTCTGATAATAATTTCAATAATTGAAATAATGCTCCAATTGAAGATAGACCACTATGGAAAAATTACAAGCATTGGATGGCCATTTCGTCCTAGTATGCTACTTCTCAGCACTGTGCATCCACGATCCCGCCCTCCGTGAGAGTCGAACCCAGGATCTATAGGTCTCGCGCGCGAATGCCTAACTTCTAAACCACTGGGTCGGCATCTGACGATGTTAATATCCAACTTCAACTGATCCACGAAATTGAGCGACACATCCACCATTGTCTTCAGTGAGTTACTATCTCATGGTTAAGCGCTCGCGCGCAGAACTGATAGGTCCTAGGTTCGAATCTCAAGGGGGTGGCGTTACCGTGGATACGCACTGCCGAAAACTTCCATACTAGTAATAAACGGCCGTCCAGTGTTTCCAGGTTTTCCACGGTGGTCTAGCTTCAATTGAAATTACTAAAATCTCCTCCAAACCCCTTCTGATGATCATAATTTAGTGATCGTTTATCAGTGTAATGTTTAAGCGTATATTATAATATATTAGTGTTCAAATAAATTGTTTGCTAACAGTGTCAAAAAGCCAAGTATATAAGTCAATTAGATCCATAAACGATGTATTTTTACTCTCTTGATGATTACATTGTCAAAACTATCTAAAATGGGACATTCTATTATTTGTACAAAAACTTTGATTTAGTTCATATTTATTCATAAATATAAGTATTAAGACATTTGTACATCATGAAGTGAATTTAGTTAGACTGAGATTCGGTACACGTGACCTCATCAAGATTTGGACAAAAGACCATCTGCTCTATTAGCAACATCTTAGGCTTTATATCATTCAGACTGTATGCAGTGATTTGTACTTCTACTTTAGTAAGTCCGTAATAATTCTTCAATATCTTTCAATGTTGATAGTGGATAACTAAGTTATACATTACATTGTTGAATTCCACTAGTCACAGCATCTGATTAAACCATTGCCAATTGCCTCTTAAAATTTGTCATCAATGAGAACATAAATAACTTTATGTCTAACTATAATGCTTAATGCATGAATAATTTTGTGAATAAGCTTGTATTTTAAAGGCAATTTTCACCATTCAACAAAAAAAAGAGTTTAGTTGGAAACAAATCGTTTGTGAATCACGCAAAGTAACATTAAATAATTCCATCTACGACTTTTTTTTTAGCAATGCAAAATCCTACAACGGTGAAAAAAGAATAAGCATTAAGAATGTTTAAGTCTTAAAATGATCGAAATACTTCTAGAATACTAAATCATTACATAACACAAAGAATATACTTATGTTCATTCATATTATGTTACAAAATTACCCCTATGAAATCATATCAACATGATATAATTTCTCTCTGAATGTGATTAACTGTACAAATCTTTAATTCAGATGAATAAGTTATTGTAATGCTAGTTGCTAGAGGATAAAAAATTGTGATTTAATGAGGTTATATTTCTTTCTTTTTCTCTGAATGCGTCAGTTTAGTTTGAAGTTACTTTATATAGATTTGTCTAGCCTCATATCCTTTTGATGAAAAAAAAAATAACGGCGAGATTATAATTTATGGAAGAACCAATCACGTATAAGATAATAGGACTCGGATTTTGGCACGAAATTCGCCCATCCATTTGGCTAAGTAGAGTTTTGGCATTATAACTAATGTCAGTTCATGATGAAAACCTTAAATCTAATTCCTAACCCTAAACATCAACTGTAAATCATCATTCAAAATCCTCACACTAATTTATAACCCTCATTTGATCCTAGTTATTAGGTGAACACTCTCAAGGTCAGTTTAGCATCTCTCAAATGTTGTCCATAAATTGTAGTCTCACCAAAATAATCTCCAGTACACTTAATATGTTAGTTATAATTTATCACTGGTCAATAAATTGATTAATATGTGTTTGTTTTTTACTCTAAACGTTCTATCATTGAAATTACTTATAATTAATGTTTATTATACGAATTGTCAATCACTCATTGTTCAATGATCTTTTTTTCTTAAAACAATGTAATCTATTTAGGCTGAAATAGTTTATGAAACTATTCATATATGATAATATTAGTTAAGCGTATAAAATTTTCATATACATATATATATAAAGTCAAACTGTATAGTGTACTACTGATGTCGACTGATATAAGTAGTATGTATCATAAAGTGAAAATGAAATGCCTGGCAGCAGAAAGTTATGTAGATCAAAGAAAAGACAACAAAGACTGGTTAGTTTAAAAACGAAAGAACAATGAATTTTGAGACGTTTGATTGATATTCGCGAAAGAAACAATTAAGTTTGTGGCAAATAATTAACGTTTTGCAAATGAAGTATTTACTGTATGCTTCTCAGATTTTAGTAACATGCTCTGTAATTTTGTGTTCGAACATATTCGACTGTCATTACTTGTGTCATCGTTCATTACAATACCGACCAAATATCATATGTAAATAATACTAAACGAATGTCATCACATAAATAACATAATGAGTTAAAATATTACCTGAAGTTTTACTTCATTGAAATATTTAGATGCTGTTATTGCTAACGATATACAATTCAGTGAAGTCATTTGATTCTCTAAACTTTTGATATCGATTTATTTAAGCTCTAGATTTATTTTATTAATTAAATTACGCGCTTGCTGATCATTACCAGCTAACACTGTATAGTGACACAAAATTCCAGTTCCATCATAAGCCAAATCTCTAATTTTTTTTAATGTTATGTACCAAGTGTAAGTTTGCTAAATTGATATAAACGCACAATTTTCGTGCTCTTAATCATAGAGTCTACTTAAATATGAATTTAGTCCTTAAAATTACTTAAATCTTTTGGATTGGACTGATGAGTATTGTGTATATGAAAAATAAAATTGTCGTACAAAATCAAGTTGAACTATTCGACAATTGGATTCGTAGGTGTATATTCTATAGTTAAGGTGTAATACCTGTTATTCACATATGGATACTAGACTTCTGTTAAAACCCTATTTTTTTTGGTACATGTCATAATATTGGTCATACACAATAATTTATTTCTGATTAGAAGTTTAAATATATACTTACAAGAATGTTGATTATCGTTTGGCGTAGTCCATTAAAGTTACCATACTTCTAAATGAATTTACATCTGATTACACATTTTACATGTCCGACATTAATATCTGACCTAAAACGTCCTAGTGAAACTACTGGGTAATGGAGATAGACTTATTAGTTAACTTGGGCAGTCAGTACAGTTCGGACTAATTCATTAATCTACTGTAACCTGGATCATATGCTCCAAATGCTTCAGGATTTAAGTAACTTTGTTAAAAATTCTCAGTAAAATTAATTTATAAATCCTGTCTATTTTAATTGTAAACTATTATTTTATCATTTTTACACAAGCCTTTATTTTAAGCTAATGATTTAGTCGTTTCCAGAAAAGATATTTGTCAAGTAAATGTTATCAAGAGAATAACAATTAAAATTGAATAATTCTGAAACATGCTCTGTATAAGATTGTGGAGAATATCAAGTTTTTGATTGAGATCATGAACCAATTGATATTAGACCACCATTGAAAACCTGGGAATACTGAACGCTCATCCAATGGTCTACCATCAATCAATTCATGATCTCAATTCAAAAGAAAAATCCCTTTAAATTTATCAAAAATTTATATTTATCAATCATTTTGAAAAAAATATCAATCCAATGAACTTACCAAATAACGCGAGATCAAATTTCATCCCATAATCAATTTATTATATAATATGCATATGTATTATCAAGTAATAAACACAAAGATTATTACTATGATTAAGTTAATATTATTTTTATTTTTTTTATTTTTTGTATGAAATAAAATCAAAATAATAAATATGTTTATCCTTAGAATATCAGTTTCAGTTCCAGTTTGGAAAGGATAGGAGGCTTGATGGCCTAAGTACTTAATAATTCTCTTAATATGATCAAAATGATCATATATATATATGCCAAATAAATAAATATTTATTAAATTGATTGAACCAATCAATGTATTCTATTTTAACCAATCAGATTCATGTATTGACATTTCATCATGATATAAAATTAACCAATCAGAATTTTGCTTTTTTGTTTTTTTGTACTGCATTGATTTACTTTTAACTCTTTTAAATATTGTCAAATTGTTTTTCTTTTTTTTCTTTTTTCTTTTCTTTTTAAAGTTAATTTTATTTTCTAGATATTAACCTTTTTCTTTTGTTTGTTTTTTTCTTTTTTTGGATTAATCTTTTCACTTGTTATGTACATAGTTACATGACTCCCAAAAAAAATAGGATTTTATTTAGTTTATTTTGTATGATGACGTAATTTTGGGAGAAAAAATCCCCCCCCAAAAAATGAGAGATTTTTAATATATAAATTTATATGACAACTAAATGTTAATTACAAGGCGCCATTGCTTAAATAAACTTTAAGAAATGAAGATCAATAAAAAGTACTTTATTTTTTCTTATCTAAAGAATAGATAACAATTATTTATATAAATTTAAATCATATACATTCTGATTTAAATATATAACAATCTAAGTTGTTATATTTTTAAACAATGAATAATAAGAGGAAATTGATAAAAGGGAAATCATTGTAATATTAAATGTACTGTATTAATATGTATATAATTGGTTATATGGTTAATGATGATTTTGTTGTGTCTAGGCAGATAGATGGAAAATGTTTGACTTCAAGGATTAGACTACATTGGATTAATATATATATGTATTGTGCCACTGTACTCCATTGTCGTCAGTGAGCTGATATCTCACAACAGACCTAGTTGAAGTCCACTAGTAACGGCTTCTCAATAGAACTCCATGGGTATCTCTTGAAGTCAATCACTAGTGAGCAGATGATCATTATCGGAAGGGGTTTTATGGAGATTTTAGTAATTTCAATAGTTGAACTCATGAGTGATTTGGATCTAAACTGATAGTTTCTAGGTTCGAATCTAGCAGAGGGTTGTATCGTGGATGCGCAGTACTGAGGAGTTCCATACTAGGACGAAACGGCTGTCCAGTACTTTCAGGTTTTCCATGGTGATCTAGCTTCAATTGACTCATTAATTCAACTCATAAAAATTACTACGATCTTCGCACAACCCCTTCTGATAATTATTTATGTTACTCAGTTTTGCACCACAACTGACTTAATTATGCACATATTGTGGTTTCCTATTTATAGTATTTTATAGTCTTGCGATTACTGTTTGTTATCATATGAGATTTTCTGTCATGATAATGCAAAGTAAATCAAGTGTTTTTATGTCCTGATTGATGGAGAAGGGAAGAAGTATTTACATGCTCGTTGAGTGTCACGATAACAAGAGGTTGTTGGAGGCGATTAGTGACAGTGATTAAGTAAAGCTCATTTGTGTAATTGATATGACGTGAATTCGTCATTACTGGAATCACTAGTTTATTGATTTTATTATTTGGTCCCATAGAAATTGAATTATCAATAAGCCTGATTTCATCACGAGATAAAATTACCAAGAAACCAAAGATCACAGGCTATATTTTATTCTGGCTTCAAACCACTCGTTGTGTCTCAGTTTGCTTCTAACACAGAATTGAATTCATGAATCAGGGTATGGCTTTACTCTTATTTTGTAGTAAGCCAATCTGAACAATACACATTTTTTTCATAGCTGTGTTTAATGTAACAAATTACCGTGGATTTCGGTTTTGCTATCGATCACCCTGCTCTTAATGATGATTTATAGTGCTTTATAGCATCAAACTTATCTCGCTGATTAGCGTTAACAAAAGACTTGCAAACACTGTGATATTGTTCAATACAAGTATACTCATGCAGTAATTATAATAATTAGTCGTGATCTTAGTCAAATTATCACAAAAAATCCATTTATAGAGATTAATTAATTTTTAGGTTTAAATCCAGTTTTAAGAGCTCAGTCTACCATAATTCGTTTAAAGTAAACATAAATTGATAAGTATGACTAGAATAAACTAAAATGTAAGCTCAATAAGTAGTACAGAATCTGCTGAAAATTATATGATGGTATATAGTAAGTACAAAAAGAATAAACAAGCGTCACACTGATTACTACTCGATGAAAAGTCAATTTTATATATTTCAGTCCTACTGAATATCACCGGGAATCCCAACAATTTATTAGTAACCTCTCAAATTGTGAAATTCACTGGTCTAGGTTCAAATCTCATAGGGAGCATCTTTTTTCATCAAAACCTCAGGTAGGCCTTACCAAATAGTACTGAATCTAGTTTCACGGTCTCCTGTTAACTACTTTAAAACATCTCAAATTTAGATGGCAATGCAGTAGTAGTGAATGTTCCACTGATCCTCAGTAAACCAACAAAATGATGACACGATATTGTGTTGACATAGCAGCTTATTTATTCTCGAGTAAATACAGTTAAACTAACACCGTTTACAAAATGGCTAACTGAGCATTGTAAAGTGTATGTATATGTATGTATGTATGTATGTATGTATGTATGTATGTATGTATGTATGTATGTATGTATGTATGTATGTATGTATGTATGTATGTATGTATGTATGTATGTATGTATGTATGTATGTATGTATGTATGTATGTATGTATGTATGTATGTATGTATGTTTGTATGTATGTATGTGTGTTGTATGTATGTATCTTTCTAACACTTAGCTAGGTTAGGCCACAACAGAACTTTTAAAAACTAATTGTAACTCATTTTTAAAAACCCGAAATTTTATCTTCTATCCTTAATTATTCAATTACCTATTTCTCATCTATTAGGAAAACCAGGTTATTTCCTTTTTGTTATTAATTAATAATATTTCAAACTGACCGAGATAAGACTTTTCTGATCCATATTTTCACATTAACTTTTGTTATTATTTAACTGATTGCTTCATGACTAAATTATCTGTTTTCTCACCTTATTTTCATTTATACATATGAAGAGTTACTTTTTTCCTTTCTTGATTTTATATTCTTCAATATTAAGCATTTCCTAAACTCTTAACTTCATACTATTTTCGTTCAGTTCGTGAATACCTATTGAATCATTGTTCCATTTATGAAGTGAGGTTAGACAGGGTTGCCCAAACTCACCATTCCTCTTCAACTTGGCCATCGAGCCAGAGCGGCTTATGTCAATCTGGGCCATCATTTAAGCCTTCGTGATATCAGTCTGGCTATAAAAGGTCGGATCTATGCTTGTGAAACCTGGCCTCTCCGAGTTGAGGATGTAAGACGACTCTCTTTGTTTGATCATCCCTGTCTCCGAAGGACTGGTGATATCCAGTGGCAAAATCATTTTAGAAATGCAGAGGTTCGTCAGTGTGTCCAAGCTCAGTGGCGATAATTCAATTGATGTCACCATCTTGAAACATCGACTTCGGTGGCTTGGACATGTTCTCCGAATGTCGTCCCAGAGAATTCCACGTCGTGCATTACTTGCCGACTCTGGGACTGGTTGGAAGAAGCGGAGAGGTGGTCAGTGCATGACATGATGTCGTGGTATGAGGGAAAGCCGCAAAGGACTGGCTTGTGTTGGTCCTTCACGACTCCCTGGTTGTGGACCGAGAGATAGTGCAACACAGTGGCTAGAGACGTTATAAGATATTGCTCAGAATAGAAGCCAGTGGTAATACTGTTGTAACCTTCTTTTATTTTCTTCATAAAAAGTCGTTGTAACTTCCTTAACTGAAAGAATTCTTCTGGTTGTACCTTTCTATTTCCCCCACTATTATTATTATTATTAATATTACACTGCCATACACTAACCTGTGGTCGTTATTGTATTTTTTTCTTATACGCACCTTACATTCTTTTTCTCTTCTTATTGTTTTGCATGGCGCATCTATATCTGGTGCCTCCTTCTACCAATATTTATGTGTTCAAATAAATAAATATTATGTATCAAATCATTTCTATTGAATATTCTTAATAATAGAAGAAATCACAATTGATTGATCACCACCCAGTGATCAATCAATTGTGATTACATCTCAGTCCTACAGGAGTTCGGTCGCCTCCCGGATAGCTCAGTGGTAACGTCTCTGACTGTGAAGCTGGGTGACACTAGATCAAATCCGCCAGGGAGCACCAGTTCCCTCAAGATTACAGGTACACCTTGCTGACGAGTGCCAAGTAGCACGAAACCCGGGTCCAGGGTTTCCTGTTGACTACCTCCAACCACCATCTAATCTCAATTAGAAGAAATCCCAATCAGTTTCCCATAGGCTAGATACAAAACTTAATACCAATATATCTGATATGTAGATAGATGACATTTTTTTGTTCACAAATTCACAATATTAAACTTTAAAATTTCTTTAATTACTTATTTTACAATCCATAGATTTGTGAATAATTCACATTTATTCATTGACATTTAGTTCATTGCCTTTCGAATGAACAAGGAGATTACATAATAGTTTGACAAGTTTTTCTATGATGATATATGACATTTACCTTTTATGATGATTATTATTAAAGAAATAAAATAAAATTCATGAATTTAATGTTTCCTTTGTTAAACTATTTTATTTCATGTTTATGAATTCAAATTAAGAAACTTGCAACTACCTGACATGAATAGATACCAGTAAAGTCTTTTGTCAAACACACACACACATACATACATACATGGATACATACATACATACATACATAGATACCATAAATGTCTTATCCATTTGTTAAATTACATATTTTTTAAAACTTAAATGTTAATTTTATGCCTAATGTGTGAAAAAAATGTGTGTTTCATGTTAAATGGTATCAAGGCAACCTGTATAAACATTATCTGGGTAACATGGTATTTAACACTCCTCGATGAAATAGATCTAAGATTTCAGGTAGACTATACATTGTGAATTCAACTGATGGAATATCTGAAAGTTAAGTTTAAACAATCCGGACTGTTTAAGTTTTTAAAAAGTGATATGAAAACAAAAA